CCAACAAAAAGACACTTCAATAAAACACAGGATATTCAACGTTCGCTCTGGACACCTGTGTATTACTATAGAGAGATATTATGGATAGGCTTACATCAAGTTCTTTGTGTACAACAATAACCCCATAAATAGATTTCTGAATACGGGCAACATCAAACAATGTGGCACTTGTACTAAAACAGGTGCAATGAAAATGGGAACGAACAAGGAGGAAATAAAAGCTATTTATACACACACAAATATTTCTAGAAATACACGTGAACACGTACAAAATGAATATAAAATCAAGTTGACAAAAAATAAAAATGTAACGAAGTTGGCAGATACTAAGTAACGTATTTCTTGCAATAAACTACCAACTGAGTAGGTGTCTTTCTTTCTCAACTGAAGACCGAAACAGATCCAATTTCCAAAACGTCGTGTCCTCTATCACCTAAAATTCCGGACGATGGAAGAAGTTCAAACTCCCAGTAATTTTGTGTGTCATCCACCATCGTCAGAACCCTTTAGAATCTACTTAAAATAATTATATTGAATGCATATTACGACGATTTTTTAAATGTACCACAATGCGTAAGCCTGAGAGGTCAAAGTGATGTCTGAGCATAAACCATTTAAACTACTGGAATAGTTGTCTGCGCATAAAGGATTATGAACGTTATGTCATCTGTGAGTTGGGATAGATGCTGTGGCACCAAGGATACTGGTCATGTGTAGGGTGGTACGCGTGACGAAAATGACGAGTTCTAGGTCGAATGAATGGATTTATTATCACATTGGTTATAAGTTCTCTTAATCACATTCAAATAAAGCGCTATAGTTGAATTACACACAGACTGGTCCTCTCCTGGTACAACTAAAACGCAGGAACTATAGCAGTCTCACTGAATCACACACACCAAGTATTATATATGACTGATGCCTTCTAATCATAATTTAAGTCTTCGCAGTTCGACGAACTTTCCGTGGCTATCTTCTACCGAAAACTCACAACTGAACCGTAGCGCCGTTTCTTTTTAAGATAAGTCCTTTGTACGGACCTCACATAAAACACCGTCTCCCACTGTTGTGCATGTATGTTTGCAGCTGTGTTGCCCGCAACAGAATTCCTATATCTCCGTGCGTTTGTTCGGGGCTGATCGCATAGAAAACAGTCTCTATTATTGAGGTTTGCTTACCGAGCCGTTGCTTAACAACATTCTGGCCAGCCACGTAACAATACTTTATGTTACTTAGGGGCATCAAGCAACGGGTAATGGGCATATCGTTAAATAAATTCGATAGTTCGAAACTCTTCAAGAATTTAGGATATTTTCAGAATTTAAATTGTAACAAATTTATCAAAACTAAAATATACTCGAGAGAGTGAAAATTTTTAAAAGCGTATGATATTTTTGTATTTCAGAAAAGGAAAACTCATAACAATACTAGAGAAATGAACTCTGTCCACTGTCAGTCCAGGCTTTGGAGAGCAGTTCATGTTTCTTATGTTATGTTACAACGGCAGCTTGGTCACTTGAACGGTAGTAAGCTTGCCCACCGCCTAGTTTATGCCTCTTAAATTTTTCTGTATGTCTGGCTTCGCTTTGTCCTATATTGCGAACATGTTCATTTCGATGATTTTGTGTGACTTTGCCTGGAGTCCCAGAATACCATATTGTAACGAAATCAATTGAGATTTTCGGAAGTCAAATATGTGAGCAGACAGAGCAAGTAATCCTTGGAGAGCAGTTGACTGACACATATATCTGCAAGCAGATTAACGGGTTTGATTTTTAGGAGGTACTGGTCTGCCCTGGAAATACGATACAACCCATGTACTGTGTACTGTACCGTGTATTGTACCAGATTCTACGACCACACTTCATTTACGTTACAGGACTTGTTTAGTGCAATGAGTGCAAAGAGAACCAGCATAATGAAGTAGCATGTGATAACTCTCGCCAACGGCATTTGAATGTCAAACACGTGGTAACCGCTTTCCTAGGCTATAATCATTAAAACCGTTCCAAGCCCTAAAGCGCTTATGCCTCAACGTCGCTAACCTCTGCTAACATGTGTATGACCATCACAATAAACAATTACAAAATATGCAAAGATTTAAACATTATTTGTAATCAGTTACAGAGCAGCTTCCAGTAATTCGAAATTATTTCATCGCTTGTGATAATAGGAGATAGATGGAACTGTTTTGTGATCGTGTTCAACAGCGGTCTTTGGCACAACCAGTGTTAGATCGTCGGGATTTTCCACCGCAGCAATAATATGCATGTCCATCTATAGCAGAGGTCAACAATAATAATTATGCATGAAAAGTTATCGTAGAAGGGAACTCTGCGTATAATATCGCTGTTATTTAGATCTTTTCGTTAACGTAGATCCGTAACTACTGTGAGGCTGCAGAAAAGATACTAATGGATGGGCCCTCTCCACATATCCCTCGAGCTGTTACAGTTCGCCTCCCAGCATACGCCTCCAGTGATCCAGCCATTCTGCGCATCATAAGGATGTTGGCGGTGATATGCTACGTCACCCAGGAGCTCTGCCGGCTGGTGACATAAGCCAGAGGTAATTGGCAGTCGGAAAGACAGAGGAACCATCGAGCGCTGTCATCCCCCCATCAGTGGCATTTATTCCTGTTGCCTCAACGTAAATAATGTGATGAAACAAAGATCTACGGTTACTTATGACGCCTGTTTGATATGCTCTCACACGGGTGTTGTGTTAACGTGTGGATTAATGACTAACTTAATGAAGCTGAGAAGTCTTGAGAAGCCGCCAGTTGTGCACCTATTCAAGAACTTTACAGCATTTTATCAGAACTCAATGTTCATAACCGTTCTCACAAAGGCCCTCCACTTATCTATATCCTGGGCGACATCAATCCAGTGCATACCACCCCATCCTAGCTCTCTAAGATCCATCTTAATATTATCCACCCACCTATGTCTTGGTCTTCCTAGTGGTTTCTTTCCTTCTGACTTTCCCATTAATATCCTATATGCATACCTCTTCGCCCAAATCGTGCTACATGACCTTCCCATCTCATCCTTCTTCTCTTGATGATTCTAATTATAGTTGGAGAAGAGCACAAGTTATGAAGCTTCTCATTATGCAGTTTTCTCCAACCTCCTGTGTGGATCAATAATGACAAAAACTCATTAGACCTATGCCTTTATGATGGTGTCGTCGAGATTTTATTCTGTTATTTATTTACAGTTTTATAGCGATGCTATTTGTAACTGAGGCTACATAGCGTCAAACGATAGAACGGTGAATACTGGCAGGAAATTGTCGTGGTCTAATTTAAGGCACTATCGAGGCATCCATCTACAGGGATGAAAACCTTAATCAGTAGAATCAGCGTCCGCGTTGAAATTCTAACCGACCTCTCGAATACGAGACAAAAGTCTTAACGCTTGAGCCAGCCTGCTCAGTATCACGTTATGGCCTGTGCGTACAGGTATGTTCTTTGTCTATATTGGCCTCTGTCCGCATAACTTAGCTGAAGGCAGGAAACCAATGGAAAATCACTTTGCGCTATCTCCATTTGACCACCGCTGAGTGGGTCCAGTAGACGGTTAGTAAATGGAGCATAGATTTCGACACAGAATATGAATCTTTGTTCAGTCTTGACTCCGTTAGAAGTGTGACGAAATCAGCACTGGGGTTTGCTTGTCTCGAGTCACAAATCATCCGCACTGAAGGAAAATATCCAGGTTTCTAGAGACTTGGTCTCACTTCGGAGAACCCAACTTTTACAGAAAAAGTTTCAAGATGAATAGAGTAGTACGTCTACTCTCCACTGGTTAGCTTCGAGCCTATTTCAACTTCACAGTCACTTTAACTTGCCTTTCCACATCTCTGTATATTCTCAGCTCGCCTATTCCGTTTAGGTTGGTTCATCCTGCTTTGTATGTAGTCACCTATGTTTATATTTACAGAAAACTTTTTCACACATTTATTATTCATAATCTGCAGAATCTACAATAAATGTATATGTTCAATAAATACTGGCTCGTTAATGAGTTATGCCCAGTGGCATAACTCATATACTTTTTTCTTTGTTCACTTAGGTATCATTTTAATTCTTGTGTTGGGGTTTTACTCAGGTCTGTATCATAGACTTAGGGCGGTGTATCTTTTCAGTCTATGTGTAGTTTCGCTATTATCTAGTAGGTTCACTGCTAGTGCATTTGTGTGGTTTTCTAATTTTCTTATATGTTGGTATTCCAGGTTTCTATTTCACTGAGCACTGCGTTCATTTGTAGATCTTAATGGACCCGGTGATTGTTTATGTACCAAGGTGCGTTCAGAATGGATCGGAGAGTCTTGGATTGAAAGCGCTGGAGGATTTCGATGCTGGAATTGGAGGCTGTCCCCCATAGCTGAATTCCATAGGTTCATATGGGTTTGAGTACAGCTTTGTATAGGAGGAGTGTGCTTTCTACTGACAGTGTTGATCAGTTTATTTGTTTCGCTCTTAGGTTTAGCTGTTTTCTTTTGGATTTCATGTGCTTTGCCCATGTCAGTCTTCTATCGAGGTGCTTTCCCAGGTATTTCACTTCATTTTCCTGGGGTAAAGGAATAAACATGTAAGCTCTTCCTCAGATTTACATATGTAATATTATTTAGTCCAGTACATGACTAGACTCACTCCACAAAGCAGGGCTCTTACCGTGTCGCCCAATTAATCAAGCAAATCTCTCACATTTCATGTAGCCAGAAGATACACTGTCGTATTCTCAAGAGCACGCAACTTCACACTGTCCCTAAAGGAGATGAATACAGTCCATTCCTGACACCAACATTTTTCACATCAATTTTAATATTACGTGTATGTTCACATCTACACCTAATTCTCCTAAGAGGTTTATTCCATTCAGGGTTTTCAATTAAAATATTGTACGTGTTTGTCTCTCCACACTTTTTATTGTCGAAAGCTACTTCGATTCTTACAAAGCACTGATTTCATTGTCTGAATGACTTCTGCGTTTCAGACTCCCTGCTCACGAACGGAGAGAACTGATAGCTGGACGTGGATGACGACGAAAAGGCAGCTGGAAAATTAGCTGCAAATACAACTCTTCCATAATTATTTATATGATCTTGTTAATTGTTACATTCATAAAGTATTAATGTATACTTCTGTTACGTTCACTAACTGTCCAGATTAAGCCTGACGACAGGAAAGACACTGATTGCCAGGTTATAGTTTTGTGAATCTTGAATAACTGCAATGATCAGCAAACTGAACACACCCAATGAAGAATATGGTCGACTTAAGATGCTGGAACAGATCACAAAGAAAGCAGACTGTGCTATGGTAAACTTAGTGCGAACGTTGAGAAAAATGGTGCGGTATCTAGAAACTGTAATTACAGAACTGGAAATATATATATTATATGTGTGTAAATATTATATTATGAAGTATAAAGATAAAAAACGACATAACGAAACTCAACACAGAATTTTACATGAAAGTATACAATGTACATATATTAATGTGAATATTTGTTCCATTATAGCATACAGACATACAGTCCTATTACTTTATGGTGACCGCCGAGTTTTGGCTGATCATGAAATTTCGCCGAATACACCCTGAAAATATTACCTCTTGGGGGACATATGGGTAGACTGGCAGGTGGATATGTGTTAGACAATTCAAGTCAAGAATTTTGCAAACGTAAAATACATTCAGAATTTCTGGGTTCTTGAAATTGTTCAAGCATCCGGTATTCTAGAAAACACGACGTTTTGGAAACAGATAAATTTTCCGAAACGTCGTATTTCCTATTTTCTACAACACCTGCCGACGGAAAAAGTAAAAAAAAAAAAAGCAATTCTGAGTGTTATACACTATCGTTAGAAGCTTTTAGAATCTACTTGTAAAATCCATTGATTATTAAATGCTGCCACCTCAAATAAATTACAAGGAAAATCTGCGAACACTAAAAGACTGACCCGTCTAGTGGAGCTCAGTGAAAAGAAATGACCGGCCTAGCGGCGCAACAATGAAAACCATGCACGCTACTAAATCAATGAATAATGTGCCAAATAAGAGTTTGTATTTCCCAGCATCTGTCACTGCATCTTGTTCCGCCACTAATATAGAAGCTCAGTGTGTAACTTTCCGCCGCACATTTTGGCTTCTCTCTCTTCAAGCGCCTACCAAAAACCGCAATAAAGTAATTGGATACGTATGTTCAAACTAGATGTATAACTATTACAATTGTTCATAGATTAAGATTTTACTACAACACTATAAATAGCATATCTAAAGAAAAAAATAATATCAAACACAAAACCAAAGATTTATGTTTTAAATGTTCATAAATAAAGTTGTGTGTCATTTTACAGTTCCATCATTATAAGGACCTATATTGATGAAAATGAACTTTGTCCTCTAAAATTGGAGAAAAAATGTATTAATGTAATTCGACTTCGGTCAACTCATTACTCTGATGAAGCACCCAATATAGTATGTATAAGTGAGACCTATATATAAAAAGGTAAAGTTGTCCTTGTGCTTAGCTAATAAAGCACTACGCCATGAAGACGTATGGGGGAGTGGATGTATAAGACGAAAGCTGTCTTGACCTCGGCACTAGTTTGGGGGTGAGTGGTAGACCTATATATAACAGCCTGAAAACCTTAACCGAATAAACAGCAGGACTGTTATAGGGGTAATAAAAAACAAAACAAATTCCTTGGCCTGTAGTCCGCAAGCGAACTATACCGACCGAGCGACCGCCGCTTGTCGGCGAAGTTAGTGCCAACTTTTGCGGATAGGTGTCACGTGGTCAGCGCAACGGAACCCCACTGCCGTTAATTTTGGTTTTCTAGACCGGATGTTTTAGGTGCAATACTAAGCTAAAATCATGAAATCAGAAAAATAAATCCTGCATTCTTCTGGCTGCACGTCTATTCATCGTGTTATCTCAGACTGTCGACAAATTCTGTAATTATGTGGCTGAATATATTTACTCGTAAGTTAGGCAATGCCCTTAGCTTCGAACAGGATAGATATATCAGGACAGCTAAGCGCGCACCAAGCGTCCTGTTAAAATAAGGTGCTGCTTACATAACAGCCTATCACATTGGCCGCAAGGTCTAAGGCATGAACTTTCTTCGCCCGTTCAAACACTGGGATCGTGGGTTCGAATCGTACCCAAGGCTTGAATGTCTTTTTGCTTTAGTTCTGTTTTTGTGGTGTTCTGTGTAGGTAGCGGCCTTGCGACGGGCTGATCCCCGGTCCAAGGTTTCCTGCCGACTATATGTAAGATAAGAAACTGAAAGGAGAAGCGAGGATGACCCAAACCGGGCTGTAGGGTTAGTTGTAGTCGTAGTTCTCTATATATAAAGTTGCTAATTATCTTTGTTTTAAATTAACTTTTCTGCACTAATTAAATTCTTTGCCTTCCCTTTCCCCAGTCAATATCAAATATTTAATCTCAAATGAAGGTCAAATTACATCATTAGGGCTCTGTCTGAAGTATACTCTTTAACTCTGGACGTAAAAAAATGTTGTCCCCGCTGCAATGTTCTGCCTTTCTTCTTCTTCATAAAAGTAATTACACTGCACGTGATTATTACATAGATGGAAAACGACATCCTCACTTTATTAATAGGGCAGTACATGCCGGGCGAGGAGTCAAAGTAAAACAAAAGAGGTGATGAAGAGATTATTTTGAGGGCGAGACAGGCATTAAGGTGACTAATCTGTAAAACCAGCGAGAACAAAAACAACGTCCTCATATATTTTACTGGTATGACTGTATATGCCTGGCGAGAAGTCGGAGAAATGAGAAAAAATAATACGAAAAAGAATTTCGAAGGCGAGATAAGTATTACGATGACTACTCCGTGAAAACGGCGAGAAGCAAAAATATTTTAATTTTTATGGAAGCACATGCTGGTCGAAAAGTCAAATGAAGACAAAAACGACGACGCAAATATGATTTTGAAGTTAGGATGGATATCAAAATGGCTAATCCGTACGAGCATAATGAAATGAAATAACGAGTTAAATCTCTTAATATTAAGGGTTTCTTGTATGTGAAGCCATGTAGTTTGATACAAAATTGAATTACTTTTTCCATCCTGATGATGAGAGCATTAATTTCCTCCGAAACATTGCTACCTATCTACCAAACCACACAGCATCACTGAAGAAATTTATTACTTTTATTTGGAAGGGCTAGGTTCGAATTTCGGCGGGACGCCGACTGTAATGCCTGAACTCTTACGTGGTTTCCATCAGCCCCTCCAGGCATGCGCCGAGATGGTTTCCCAACACTAGACTACGGCCGCTTCAATCAATATCACTTCCAATTCACTATCGACCTGCCGTTCGACGATATTCTGAGATCGTCGCTGCATAAACAACAAAAATAAGTCGTCACATTCCAAAAGACCGTAATCTTTATATTCACCGCCCTGAGAACTTCAATCTCACATTTACAATACTATGATTATGATGGGTTTGAGATGCAGATCGAATTTCGGTTAGGGCATCATCTCGGAAGTGGCTCTTTAGAAGACTAATGAGTAGATGGAAGGACTGAGTATAAAGAATTAAAATTATCTGAAAATTTGTGAGAACTGTTATCGATTCATTACGCGAATATTGTGTTGGGGTCTGTTAATTTAGTACTGTCTTCTCTCGTCACAGTGAGAATCTTCTTTCACCCAGAAAATATTGCTTGAACACGAGCGCCGTTACACCTGCCGCATATTCATCTATACAGACGAACTTCGGTCGCGATACAGTTACGAAACATAAAGGAATTCACTACCGATATATTGTTGTCCAAGTTTATCATAAATATCTAACAACTAGCGAAGATTTTGAAAGATATCGCAACTAGATATACACGGTCGGAGGATTTTCAAATGAGTGGAAATATGACATACAAACAACAAACAAAAACAAACTCCGTGGTTTCAGCCCGCAAGTGAACTATACCTACCGAGCGACCTCCGCTTATCGGCGAAGTTAGTGTCCACTTTAGCAGATAAAAGAGTGTCGCGTGGTCAGCGCAACGAATCCCGACGGCCATTAATCTCAATTTTCTAGACCGGAGCCGTTATTTCCTTGAAGTAGCTCCTCAATTATCCTCACGAGGCTGAGTGAACCCCGTTCCAGATCCACTACTTCTCAGAAAATCTGGTAGCGCCGGGAATGGAACCCGGGACATCTGGATCTGTAGCCAGGAACTCTGACCACTAGACCATAGAGGCGGTCGGAAATATGATCTATCAGGTATGATATTAATACTGTGTACATATAAAGCATTCTTACTGTTATGTATGTGCATATATGTAATGCATAACAAATGTATTTTGATGTGAATAAAAAATTTTAAAAATATTCGCTCAGTCTTGATATGATTCAAAAGAAAAATTCTGTATTAACCTCTTGGGGCAGAGAATGGTTCTGGAACAGCAGAAAGTTATTCTGCTACGTGGGATTTGAAGTTCTTATGGCAGTCACAATTAAGAATATCATCTCCTGGAATGTGACGCCGTATGGTCTGATATAAACTTACTGATGTCTTGGTGGAATATACTGCCCGGATCTTTAAACCAAAAAAATATTAGGTTGGTCACTGACCCTACTCTTCCACATCCATTATGGAGGCTTTAGGAAGTTAATTCAATCGTCTCCATCTTCATGTTCGAAAATAAGCCAAACAAGAAAAAAGAGTGAAAGCAGATTGCAAGCAGAAGATAGAACCTCAGATTCTGCACAACGCACGCTCTGTTCTGAACCGTCTCTGAATGGAATGCCGCACGCCGTTTCGCGTGTAATTTTATATATGTGTTAGGAATTTTGCATGTGTTAGAGATGCAAATTCAATTAGGTCTGGGGTGGTAAGTTAGAGCTGAATCAACGCTTTAACCATATTTTACACCCTACTTAACCACTTTTATGAACTGACGTGTATAAGTTACAGCATGGTTGGACGTAGTTAAACACTACAGACTGGGTTGTAGATAATTTGGCTCTCCAGGGGCCCTGAACCCTTGTCTGCATCTGTCATCATGAAACTTCCGGCCATCGAGAAACAAACAGATGAATAATGATGGCAGAATGTATTCCAACGTAACACTTGCACCCCGAACAGTACAATTATCGCCAGGAGTTTCCGCTACTTTTTACTGATCCTGTCATTCAATTCCCATTCCTTATTTGTATGGCATACATTCCGAAACTACTGAATATATATCCATGAAATTTGGTACTGGCGGCGTCCAAATACAACAGGAACTTTTCAGTTGACTCCAAATATTTCAGCAGCCAATAACCAAATGCAATCAAACAGAAGTGTGTAGAACAAATTTATATTATTATTTAAATGTTTCTACATTGATAAGTGTTCGCTGAATGAATTAATAATTATAAATTCGAGAGCAAGACACGCAGCAGAACACACAACAAAAGAAAACACAACCTATCAACTCAAACACATACGTCCATATATATATATATATTTCACAACATAAATAACAACAGAAGACATCAGTTTCGTCGCCCAACAATTTTAACACCTGATGATGACCACATTGGTCGAAACATGTAGTTATGGACCTTTAAACTTTTAAAGTGAATAAATTTTAATAAATCTTATAGAATATAGTGCTGCACGTGAGGGTGCAAAAAACTAATCGACACTAAATTTTAAGTGTTTTATTGGGACATTTCAGTCATTGAGTATCCCACTTCTCACATATGATCTTAAACAAGGTATGAATATTATTTAGGGCAATATCCACAATCCCACTTCTCACATATGATCTTAAACAAGGTATGAATATTTTAGGGCAATATCCACAATCTTAATTTTTTCAAGCACGGTGTTTCTATCTGTTCCCGTCATCAGATGTAAGGAAGAAAACGTTTATATTCCGCAGGGCCCGGTGATCGAACCTGACCCTTCCTGAGAGGTCCAAACGAGCAGGAACTTCTTCCCTTGACGATGGAAACAGCCTACAGTTCCCAGGACGGTGCGGTTTAAATGAACTCAAGCCGATGAACAATGTCCAGCCATGTAACAGCGAGGATAAAATTGAAAATGAATCCTGAAAATTTTCATCGATGGTTATGTCATTCGACAAATGTTATAGATCTGCGCATTATGTTAGTAGTCGTTTGAGAACTTTACGAGTTACATCTCTGCATGCGTGTCTGTCCTTAACAAGAATTCTTTAACACGGTCTGATGCGTATATACGATCCCCTTTATATAGCCTGTAGTCAAGCGCCGGAAAGCTCCTTCATTAATTCATTGAAGAACCGCCTCTTTGTTTAAACAGCGACAGAACACATTTATAGGGTTACAGGTTGGATTAGAA